AATCAAAACAAAAAAACCTGAATAAAAGTTAAACTGTACCCAAGTAACTAAACTGTATCCTAGAACAAACATCAAGGATATCTGCAGGAATATCAAAATTATCTAGCATTCAAAAAGACAATTTATAATATCTAGCACAAAGTCAAATATTAACAAGCATGTAGATAGGCTGGAAAACATGATCCATAAAAAGGAGAAAGAGAAATCAATCTAAACCAACTGAAATTAACATGGATATTGGAATTAGCAGACAAAGATATTAAGACCATTATTGTAACTGCATTTTATGTGCTCAGAAATGGTCACATGTACAATGCAAAAATCATTCAAATAAAACCTCTAATGACAAAAACTCCAGTGTACCCTAAAGCAACCTTAGAAATGGCAAAACAGAGTTACAGCTAATATTCCAACAAACAGGGTAAAATGAAGTCAGAAAATGCTCAATAAATTCAAAAGGCGGCAGAAAAAAGGAAAAAAACAACAGATGGGACAAATACAAAACAAATTAGTAAAGAGTTGGACTTAAACCTAATTGTGCTAATAATTGTATCAAGTGTAAACTGTAAAAATCCCAGTTAAATGACAGATGAAAATGAATTTGAATTTTTAAAAAATCAAGATATAACTATGTGCTGCGTAACTACATAAAGGACACTTTAATACATAGATAGAAATAGAGTAAAACTCAAAAAAAATATGGTAGCACCAGCAAAAGAAACTTAAAGTGGCTTTCTTAATAGCTAATGAAGAAGATTTTAAAACAAAGACTATTACACAAGATAAAGAAGACAATTTAAGACAGGTATGTTGGTGCACACTGGTAATCTCAGCACTTTGGGGACTGAGGCAGGAGGATCACAGCAAGTTCAAGACTAGTCTGGGCTACACAGTATGAATGACATACTGAAAACCTGTCTCAAAACAAAGATGATTTTATAATGATAGTGTAATAGGGCCCCGCCTGCTGTGTTGGGGCAGGAACTTTTTACAATGTACCCATATATAGTTGTGATGTAACTCTGTAACGAAAGTCATACCTAATCAGAATGTAGAATGTTAACGTACCCAACCAGACTGTAAAATATTAGTGTTTGCCCATATAAGGGAGACGGAGACACAAAAATTGTATAAAAGATTACAACTATGCCATGTTTTGTTCTCAGCCTTTGGATACAAATCTGTTGAGTCAGTGCCAGCAGGAATAAACTCATTTCCTGTGAAAAAGACCTTGGTGTTCTGTCTCTACATGAAAATCCTGCAGCAATAATAGTGTCAATTAATCAAAAAGACATAGCAACATGAAATGTTTAGGTTCTAAAAAGAAGAGCTTCCAATGAGGCAAACACTGATAAAACTCCAAAGAGAAACAGAAAAACCCACCATAATAGATAGAGGTTATTAAACCGTTCTCTCAATAACTGATACAAGCTGGCAATTTGACAGACAGCAGACTTGCAAAACTAATAACCAAGAGGTCCTCATTGACATTTTTAAAACATTTCATCAATGGCAGCAGAATAAACTTTCTTCTGGTGTGTACACGGGCTATCCACAAAGATGGAGTGTGTTTCAGGCCATGAAACAACTCTCGGTAAATTTAAAAAGGATTCAATTCACACAAAATGTGTTCTCTTGTCATATTAGAAATCCATAACAGAAACATTTCTAAAAATTCCCAAATATTTGGAAATCAAACTATCTTCTTCTAAACAACAATGGATTAATGAAGACAAATCAAAAAGGAAATTTGAAAATACTTTGATATAAATGAAAACAAAAGCCCAAATCAGAATCTATGAGATAATTTAGCTGGTATAATCAGGCAAAATGAGTAAATGAATGCATGAACAAATAAATACACGCAGACAGAAAAGGAAAAGGGAAAATTATTAGTCTATTAGCATGATCATTGACTAAAATCTGATGGAATCTACAAAAAAGCTGTCAGGCATACAAAGTTAACAAGGTTGTATGATATGAGATTGATATACAAAATCAGTTATATTTCTATACACCAGCAATAAACATTCAGAAAAAGGTACCATTACAACTGTATCACATAATAGGAAATATTTAGGGACAAAGCTGACTGAGGACTTGTGCATTGAAAATAACAAAGTACTGCTAAAAGAAAGGGGAAATATCTACAACAATGTACTTGTTCATGGGCCTGATAACCATATTGTTAAGCTGCCAATTTTCTCCATATCAACCTAGATCAATGGATTCAGGGCAGTTCAAATCAAAATCCCACCGTGTTTTATTTTTAGAAATTGGGAGGCTAAACTAACTAAAATTCATATGAGAATACAAAAAACAATAAAAAAATCTTTGAAGAAGATCAGATTTGAAAGCTATTCTGGTTTCAAGGCCCACTATAGAGCTATAGTAATCAAAACAATATGTTATTGGCATGAGTAGACTGACAAATAGATCAAGGGAACAGAAAACGGAGTTCAGAAACAAACCAACATATGTATAGACAATTGATTTTTGACAAATGTGCAAAGTAACACGGTGGAGAAGGCATATTGTTTTCAACTGCTGGTGAGAGAACAATTGAATATACACACGCTGATAAGTGAATTTCAGTCCATACTTTCATCATCCACATGGATGAGGCTTAGTACCAGTTATAAGGAAATGCAAATTAAAACCGCAATGAGAAACTATAACTACATACTTAGTAGAATGGCTAAAATGAAAAAGCTTGTCATATTAAGTGGCAGAGATAGGGAAGGACCAGAAGCCTCATACAGTGCTGTAGGAACTTAACACAGCACAACTGCTTTAGAAAACAGTTGCTCAGTACCTTAAAGACCTAAATATATATCTACTATGTGATTTAGTCATTTCTCTCCTAAGTATTTACCCCAGAGAAAAACTAAAACAAAAACCAAACAATGTGCTTACCAACACTTGCACATAAATGTTTATTGCAGTTTATTTGTAATAATCCCCCAAATGGTACAATATAAATTCCCATTAACAAGTGAAAGTATAAAGAATTTTCTATGTATCTGTTCAGTATAAATATAAAAATATAAACTATTCAGAATAGGGACTACTACTCAGCAATTAAAAGGGATAGACTGTTGATACACACAGCACAGATGAACCTCACATTAAGTATAGCTCTTAAATATGACAAAAATATTACCTTCTGTGATTCCACTTATATGAAACTCTAATGATTTTCATTATCTACAACCTAATACATTGTGAATAAAAGCAGATCTTTGGTTATTGTGTATATTTACTACCTTGGATATACTTGTTTCCTGGGTATCAGAAATTTAAATATAAAATTATACACTTTATATATAGTCAATTACTGTGTATTGTGACAGAGCTATTAAAAAATCAACATAATCAACTCAATCCTTATGGTTCTTCTGTGATATAAAGCTGTGTGTCTACAGCGATTGCCTTTAACACTGGTGGGCCAAGAAAGAGTATGAATGGAGGTCCTCCATTCCCAGCCTGCTGTCTTGTGTTTCTAAGCCAAGGACCACCCTCTAATCACTCTTAGATTTAGGGACATGCCTATGGACAGAGGAGCTTTCACTACACATACATGTAGGCCTGGGGTCTGGACAGGAAATTCTGAGAGTCTGAGCATTAAGACCATAGCTAGAATGGAGCTTTGTTCTAAAGGACATCTTTTGGCCCATGGCTTGAGTGGAGTCTTTTAAAGTGATGCCAGCCTGCAAGGTGATGAAACAATTGACAGTGTTTAAAAGCTTTTATAGGGGTGTCATGATGGTGCATGCATGTAATCCCAGCACTAGGGGGACGGAGGCAGGAGGATCATAAGCTGGAGTCCTGCCTTGGCAACTTAGCAAGATCTTGTCTCAGACAGAAAGAAGAAAAAAGAACAAAAAGGTCAGAGCAAGGGCAGGGGTTGGGGTTGGGGGCTTGGGAATGCAACTTGGCACAAAGGCCCTGGATATAATTCCTAGTACCACAAACATACAAACTTTTATGACAGTTTGCCATATGGTTGTAATACCCTAGCATGGAGTTTTAATTGAACTCTGCAGAAGTGATCTGTCCTCAATATATTAAATAAAAGTAAAGCCCAGTAACACAAAATAACACTGGTACCTGAGATACCTGTGGAAGGTGGATGGCTCTGAGCAACCACTTCCTTGGCTTGCAGGTGCTAAAGGTGTGAGGGATGAAAAGGGACAGTGTCAGCCTAAGTGTTAGGGTTTATGTCTGCATGTCCCCCAAGCCCTAATGCAGTCATAGATGGGGCTTTTTCAGAGATACTTAAATCTAGAATGTGTGATGCTGGGATGAAGAGTGGGTGATTATTAAATCAGTCCACTGATTATCTTGGCACTGCCCTATTCCCAGTACCCTAAATAGAATATAAAAGGGGCAGAAAGAAACTGCTAAAGTCCCTTGCTTGCTTTGCTACCTTCTGCCTGCCATAAATTTTTTTCCTCTGCGGTGCCCCTCCCCCACCCAATCCTGCCTTGGAGCCAGCTGACGATGGACTGAAACCTCTACAAACTGGAGATGAAATATATCTTTCTTCCCTTAACTTTAGGTGTCAAGTGTTTTGTCTTGACAACAAGAAAAACAACTAAAGTAAGACACTAAATAAGACTGATTTTGCATTCAAGTAAATGGAAGGCATACCCTGTTTCAAGAAAAGATTTCTGGCTTAAGAGATTCAGATCCCAATGTGATCTGCTCCATCCTTGTGTCTCCCTGCATCATTCTGTGTAGAATATCAGTCATGTGGGAAGTGGTGACTGAGCAGTGCAGGAGGTACCAGCCTTATTTCTTGTGGGTGGGCATACTTACCAGTCAAACCTGGACAAGAATTACCACATTTGGAGGGCTGCTGGGGAAGGAAACATCTGTGAGAAAGACTGTGTACTCGTTTTGGTTTGAATGTGAGAACACAGATGAGCTCCTTTGCCACCACAATTCCTGTCCCAGGCAGGCAGGCACTCCATGAACAGGACACAGGGGCATCTTACCTTGTGCACACAGGACTTTGCATTCAGGAAAAACAGCTCCACGGTGGTTTTCTCCTTTAGAAATGATATACTCTCAATGTAGAACCTGAAAAACAGTAGTGGTTTGTTTCTTCAGATTTACTTCCTTCTGTTGGCATGAATTCATTTCCTCATTTGATGTTCCCCCAAAACAGACAGAATTTTGAGGAATAGGCTTTCTTTTCCTTAGGACCATCAGGGATGTGTGTGCACACACGCATACCTGCAGAGACACACTCCTACAGAACTCGTCTGTGTTGGGAGGCAAGTTGAAGGCAAAAGCAAAATGCATTCAGCTGCAAACACACTTATCAGTGCTGCTCAGTCTGTGACACGGGTCCTGGGAGTTTCTAATGCCTCAGGCATCTTCAGGTGAAGTGAGAGGGGAAAGGCAAGTAACTGAACCTACAGGCCTGGGAGTGCTTCGGTGGTTTCCAGACCCAAAGGGGGCCTAGGGCTCATGTCCACTCCCTCTATTCCCTGGGTGATTTCAGTGAGGCCCTCCCTCCACTCTTTTCTTACGCACCAGGGGTTCCCTTTGGCTGCAAGCCAAGCTCTCCCAGCCTTCAATCTAGCTCTTTTCTCATGCAAATCAGGCTATTCTGGGCCTCCTTCTCTAGGCTGTTTCTAGGAGTTTGCTAATTCAGTCTGTGAGGCCAGGGGCTGCTGGCCCGCTTCCCCTTTCTGAACTCCACAATGGCCAGCGGAGGGGCGGAGACTGAGGCTTTAACAAGGTCAGTTCTCATCACTTCTGGGCGGGTAAATACGGCCCTGGGCGGTGAGTGAGCAGCAGGTTGAGGCCCACAGCTGTTGTCTGCCCTGGATTCTCTCTTGATGAATAATACATGAGTAACACACAATGCCCAGCAGTTCAGTCTCGGGTTTGAGGGGCAGAACTCAAGCTCAGAGTGGTGATGGTCAAGACAAACCAGGGTTAGAGTGGCTCTGTAAAACCATAAGGACTTGGCATGCGTTCCATGTGGGTTTGCTTTATTCAATAGTAATGAAACATCTGATAAACAAGTACAGCCAAAAAAAAAAAAAAGCTGCAAAAGGGCCTGGGGATGGAGCTCAGTGGTCCGGCACTTGCCTGAATGCACAAGGGCCTGAGTTCCATTTCTAGTGCCATAAATACATAAATAATTTAAAGGCTGTAAAGTTTATTACTCACTAAGATGGCAAAAGCATTTGAAAACTTCCATCCCATAATGATAAATAATCAAGAGAAGTTCCAACAGGAGAACAAATCCTTTATGTTTTTATAGACAAGGAGTTATCTCACTGAATGATAACCCCGAATGAAGATTGAAGCCTGTCAGGTTTTGAGGTACAAAGGAAGGGAAGGAAATGAGGTGTTGATAGTAAAAGGCTTTAAGATCAGAAAGATCTAGAATATGAAATCTCCCCTCTATCATTTATTAGATATGTGGGTGGGGGAAGTTAGCTTCTCTGTGTCTGACTGCTTTCTTTCTTTCTTTCTTTCTTTCTTTCTTTCTTTCTTTCTTTCTTTTTCTTTCCTTCCTTCCTTTCTTTTTTTTTTTTTTTTTTCCCCTAAATTGCTAAACTTCCTAGGCTGGACTTGAACTTGTGCTGCTGCATCAGCCCCCCAAGGTGCTGGGATTACTGGCGGGTACCACCAGGCCTGCCTTCGTTGTGTCTAAAATGAGCATCAGGATTATATGGCTTCATAGAATTCTGGAAAGATTAACTGAAACAATATATGTAAAATGCTTTAAAATATTCATATTGCTAATAAAATCTTTGTTAGCCTGAGAATTTAGAGCCTGGCATCATGGGGGAAATTATATAATCTAAGATCCTTTGTAATAAAGTGGAGGTAACGATGTTTACCTAGCAGGTCTCTTATGCAAATTAAATTAATTATATATAATGTGCCCAGTACAATCCCTGGCACGGGTAGAAATTCAGCAAACTCTAACTTGTGAGGCTCAGCAGACCTCACATTTTGTTAAAAATCTTCAGTGATGCAATGAAATTTGAATTATACCTGAAAGGTGGACACAGGATCCTGCCAAATACAAAGAAATCTGGATGAAGGGACAAACCCATCACCTGTGCTCTCAGACAAATAAAGAAGAGGTCCAAGAGGGACTCAAGGGAGGCAGAGAAAGGCACTTGTTATTAGCCAGGGGACAGAGGGAAGGGGGGAGAGAGAGAGAGACTGACAGTCAGACAGACAGACAGAGACAGATAGAAGCAGAAGCGGATAGGCTCAAAGCAGAGAGGGGCTGAGCCATTATGACGTGGATGCTAAGGGAGGAGGCCCAGAGGTTGGCTGCTGTGCGTGGCTGTGATGATCTGTCTGACTCACTTTCCCTGTACTTCCACTCAGTTAAGTCCTGGGGCTGTTTCCTGCTTCACACCTCCTTTTATTCTTTTGCTTGTTTATTTGTTTGTTTGTCCCCCCCCCCCCACCAGGGATTGAACTCACGACCACCTGCTTGCAAGGCAGGTGCTTATGCCGCTGAGCTAAATCTCCAGCCCCTATTTGTTTTTGTTTTTCAGCACCGGGAATTGAACCCAGGGTTTTTAGCTGACCAATAACCCCAGACCTTAATAGTTCCCATTTCTGAGACAGGGACTCACTAAGTTGCTAAGACTGGGTTCTAACATAGAGGCTTTGTGCCTCAGCTCCCAGAGTGCTGGGATTACAGGCATGAGCCACCATGCCTGACATTACCGTCTATTTTTTATCCCTGTCTCTCAGAAGTAGCAGCAGGATCCTGGCTAACATTTACTGGGTTTGTACTTGTGTGCTAGGCAAAGTGTTAAACGTTTCCTGTGCATTTTTTCATTGATTTCAACCATTTTGGACTGAACATACCTGTTACTGCCCCATTTCACAGATGCAATCATGTAGATTAGAAATTTAGGGTTAGGGTTAGGCTTAGGTCTTGATTTGGGTCAAGACAGTAAAAGACTGGGACATTGCCACTTATCCCTCTCAGAATACTCCCTTTGGCTTCAAAGATCCCTATCCTATCACTCTCGCCAGTTGCTGAAGCAGCTCGGGATGTCTTCCTCTGTGAGCCACATAATTTTACAAGGTATGATTAAAAATCAAACAAAACAAAAAGCAGAACAATGACACCTGTTGCTGAGTGTCATCCATCAGAAAGGCAAGCTCATAAAAAGCATTACAGTGACTTCATCTACCTTGTTCCCTGGATCTGGAACTGTGACTTCTGATTTTTCCCAAAAGTCAAAATAACCATCAAAGGCAAACATTTTTAATTGGTCCAGGACACTGAGGCAGTCACCAAAGTGCAACTAAAGACATTCACGAAAGAGGACTTCCAGAACTGCTTCAGAAAGTGGCAAGAATGATGGGTGTGTTCAAAGACAGGGGCGTTAATGATAAGGGGTCTTTTACTGTAATAGTTGTTTTTTCTTTAGTAATTTTTAAAAAAACTTAAACATATCATATTTTTGATCACATTTCCTATGCAGAAATAGTTGTTTACTGCTTCAAAAAGAAACCAGCATTTATGACCAGAAGTCAGCAGGGGATAGACTTTGCTTTGGCCAGAAACCTCTTTTATAAAGTTTTAAAAGCTTTCCCAGTGGAGTGACTTTCCTACCCACTCAGGGTTCCCAGGCAGAGTAGCAGAACTCCAAGTCTGTTTTCAACCCCAAGATTCTATGCTTCCTCTTTTTTCCATTTAGCACCCTCCCCAATATTTAACGAATACTTGCTATTTGAAAAGAGTAATTTTAGAATTCTTGGGAGTATACCAGTAAATAAGATACAGCCAATGTCAGCAGAACAATAATTAAAAATTAAGCATATATATGAATATGATTATAATGGATTCATTTATCAAAAATTTACTGAATACATAGTAGGTCTAGACACTGAGAAGGCTGCTGGGGAAATAATAATAATAATAATAATAACGCTTGTAATCCCAGCACTTGGGAGGCTTAAGCAGGAGGATCACTGCGAGTTCAAGACCACCCTGGGCTACAAGGTGAGCTCAAGGCCAACCTGAACTGCACAGCGAGACCCTGTCTCAAAAATACAAAATATAATAATAATAATAATAATAGAAGTGATAATAGCAACTATTTATCAAGAGCTGTCTATGAGCCAAATACTGTGTAAGAATTCTCTACCTTGTTTAATCCTTTTTTTCAGTTTAAGAACAGAGGAGCAGAGAAATTAAGTCTCTAACACAAATGTTCAGATCTATCGGCAGGGAAGGCAATTGAAATTATGATCTGCTTTTCTGTAAAGATGTTCAATCACATCATGCTGTTCTCATACAAAGACATAGAAGGTGGACATGCTGTCCTTCAAAGATGATAGGCCATAAGGGAAACGGATACATAAATAGTTACGATGCAACGTAGCGACTGCTGTGATGCAGGGACAGTTTTACTTAATTATTTCCACACATATCTCTAACAGATAAGGATCACACTAAAACTATAAGCTCAATGGATTTTTGTTCTAACAAAGTTCAATAATTACTTCACATTAATCGAAATACAGGTCCTATTCAAATTTTCCCATTTTCTTTAAAAATTGCCCATGTTCTTTTAAAATTGGGACTGTGTTTAATTGGTAAAGATGCATTCGTTTGCAGCAGGGGGATAAAAGTTGTAAGGTGGCTGGCTGGATATGAGCAGGTGACACCAAGGGGCACCCCCTGGGGGCGGGCCGAGCACACCCTTCCCTCAGCTGGAGCCCCTTCTGCCCCTGAGGGAGTGTGGCCTGAACTAGACCAGACAGGTCTAGTATGAGGACAATGGCCTGACGCCCAAAACTGGCAGGCACGCATTTGTTCTGCCAACAACACCCTGATGAAATTGTCCACTTCTGGACAATTTCTTTGGGTCCCTTCAGAAGTCTTGACTCAGCCAGGGCTTGGTGGCACACACCCAATATCCCAGCACTTGGGAGGCTGAGGCAGGAGGATCAAAAATTGAAGGCCAGGCAAATTCAGGAAAACCAAGAATATAGGAGTAGACAATGAGACCATATCTCAAAAAACAACAAGCACTCTCCTGCCCAAAGGAAAAAGGAAGAAAGAGAAGCATCTT